GTGTCCTTCTGTGTTTTAGAATAATTTAAGAGAGATTGTTATTCATTCTTCTTTGAATGTTTGGTAGAATTCATTCATGAAGCCATCTGGTTATAGGCTTTTCTTTGTTTTGTTTTTGCCAGAGGGTGTGTACACTCACCAGAGAAAGAGGGAGAAAAAGTGAGAAAGCACACCCCTCCTCCCTAGAGGACGGTCACACTGAAATCCTTCCCAATTACTCCCTCCTTTTGAGATTTTAGGCATGCACACACATGCGCCTGGTGTGTTTTTCAAGCTGTCAGATAAGGACTTGAACAACCGCAGTTGCCATGTGAGATCTAGCTGCTTTAACCACCATGCCAAGAACTGGCCTGACTTTTCTATGTTGAGAGGTTTTTTGTTGTTATTTATTTTCCTACTCTTTCTTTCTTTTTTTAAGAGAGATTTTTGCTATAGGGCGTGTGAGTTCACTGCTGAGAAGAAAGGGAGAAATCGTGCCTCGGGGGCATGGCCACACTGCAATCCCTTCCCTTCAGTTGTCCTCTCAGAATTTCGGACTTGCGTACACATGCCTAGTGTGAGTTTTTTTTTTGTTGTCTGTTTATTTTCCCCACTTCTCAATGGCTTTATTGGTCCATACTCTTTAGAAAAGAATGATTGACCCTATTGTCGAGTCAGTGGAATAAGCTGTGTCCAGGGACCCATCAAGCAGAGCCACCGGAGCTGATGTTTGCTCCCTCATTCATAGACCCAGTCAGGAGCACAAAACTTGTAGTCAACCAATTCCTTAGGCTTAAACCACAGGCTGATTTCTTTTTCAGCATTTTTTACTGAATCACTGCCATGAATGATGTTCCTGTCCACTTGAATGCAGAAGTCCCCAAGAATGGTGCCTGGCTTTGAATCCAAAAATAGGGAACGCTTCACGAGTTTGTGTGTCATCCTTGTGCAGGGATTACGCTAATTTTCTCTGTATTGCTCCAATTTTAGTATATGTGCTGCCAAAGTGAGCACCCTGGTGTGAGTTTTAAGGAGCCAGGTCTGGGACTCGAACCGTGGTTGGCCTTGTGGAAGTCCAGCAATGTAATCCTTATGCCATCTGCTGGTCCCTATTGTCCTCCTCTTTCATTCCTGATTTTTTTTATTTGAATCTTCTCTCCTTTTTTCTTCATTAGGTTAGATATGAGTTTGTCAATTTGTTTTATATTTTTAAAAAATCAATTCTTAGTTTTCTCATTTTAAAATTGTTTTTCTTTTCTCTATTTCATTTATTTCTGTTCTAATCTTTATCCTTTTTTTAAGAGAGATTTTTCTTTCTTTCTTTTTTTTTTTTTTTTGGAGAGGTTTTTGCTCTAGGGTGCGTGTGCTCACCAGACAGACAGAGAGAGACAGAGAGACAGAAAGAGAGAAATCACCCCCCAGGGGGGATGACCACACTGCAATCCCTTTTCCTTCATTCTCCTCTCGGGATCTTGGGCACGCACACACATGTGCCCGGCGAGAGTTTTAAGACACCGAGTCCGGGACGTGAACCGCGGTCGACCACATGGGAGTCCAGCAACATAGCCATTACACTAACTGCTGGTCCCTCTTTAAGAGAAATTTCTGGTATAGGTTGTGTGCGCTTGCTGGAGAGACAGAGACAAAGACAGGCAGCGAGAAATCACCTCCTGGAGGGATGGCCATGCCACAGTTGCTTCTCCATTCTCCTCTTGGGATTTGGGACATGCATGCACATGCCCCTGGCATGAGTTTTAAGCCACCAGGTCTGGGACTCAAACTGTGGTCGACTAGTGGGAGTCCAGTGATACAATCATTATGCCATCCACAGGTCCCAATTTCTGTTCTAATCTGTATTATTTCCTTTCATCTGCTAACTTCAGGCTCAGATTATTCTTCTTATAGTTTCTTGAGATGTAAACATTAGTTGTTTTAAAGAGGTTTTTGCCTCAAGGTGCATGCACTCACTGGAGAGAGACAGACATACTGAGAGGGGAAGTGAGAAATCACCCCTTAGGGGGAATGACCACACCACAATCCCTTCTCTTCTTAGGATTTCGGGCACACACACACACACACAGGTTCCTGGCATGTGTTTCAAGCCACCAGGCCCAGGGCTCATATGGTCAGCCATGTGGGAGTCCAGCAATGTAACCACTCCGCCATCTGCTGGTCCTGATCTTCCTTCTTTTCTAACGTAGGTATTTATCACTATCTATGTATTTTCCTCTTGGCATTACTTTTGCTACATCCTGTAAGTGTGTGTTTTATTTTCATTTGTTGTAAGATATATTTTAAATTCCACTTTGATTTCTTCTGACCCAATGTTTATATTAAAGAGTGTGTTGTTTAGTTTCTATGTATTTCATGAATTTTCTTATTTTGTTACTGTTACTGATTCTGGTTTTATTCTGTTGTGGTCAGAAAATACACTTGGTTTGATTTCAACCTTAAATTTGTGGGACCAGCAGTTAGTGTAATGGCCATGTCACTGAACTCCCACGTAGCCGACTGTGGTTCGAGTCTTGGACCCAGTGGCTTAAACTCACGCTGGGCGTGTGTGCGTGCATGCCCAAGATCCCAAGAGGAGAATGTAGGAGAAAGGATTGCGATGTGGCAATCCCCCCTGGGGGGTGATTTTTCGCTTTCTGTCTCTCTCTCTCTCTGTGTGTCTTTCTGGCAAGCACACGCACTCTATAGCAAAAACCTCTCCAAAAAAAAAAAAAATCTTAAATTTGCCAAAACATGTTTTGTGACCTAATGTGATCTACCCTGGAGTATGTTTCATATGAGCTTGAGAAAAATGTGTATTCTGCTGTTAGAGAAGTTCTGCTACAGGGCCAGCAGGTGGTGGTTAAGGAGCTGGACTCCCATGTGGACAACTGTGGTTTGAGTCCTGGACTTAAGAGCTTAAAAATCACAGGAGGTGTGTGTACATGTGTGCCCAAAATCTGGAGAGGAGAATGGAGAAGGAACTGCAGCATGGCCATGCCCCCGGGGCGGCCCTTTACTTCTTACTGTCTCTGTCTCCAGCAAGTGCACATGCCCTATGGCAATAACTTTCAAACACGTTCTGCATTTTTCTTTTCGATCAGTTTGGTCTATCTATGGTGTTGTTCAAGTCAGTCGTGTTTTTATTGATTTCCCTGTCTGAATATCCTATTATTATTCAAAGCGAGGTACTGAAGTCTCTATTATTGTAGTTCTGTCGATTTCTCCTTCAGTTCTGTCAATATTCACTTTATACGTTTAAGTGTTCTGATTTTGGGTGCACGTATATTTATAACTATATCTTCCTGTTGAATTGGCCCTTTTATCATTATATAATTACTCCTTCTGTCTCCAGTGATAGTTTCTTAAAGTCTATTTTATCTAAGTATAGCCACCCTTTCTCTTTTGGTTATCATTTCAATAGAATATCTTTTTCCATCTTTCAGTTTTAGTGTATGCTTGCGTGTGTGTGTGTGTTTTAAGAAAGAATCTTTTTTTCCCTAATTTTATTCATTATCATTATTATTATTTTTGAAGTTGACCAGAGAGAGACAGAGAGAAGGAAAGTGAGAAAGCAAGCTGCTAGGTCTGGGACTCAAATCGTGGTCAGCTATGTGGGAGTTCAGTTGCCTTAACGACCATGCCACCTGCTGACCCCAGTGTATGTGTGTTTTTAAATATGAAGTGTTTCTCTGTTAGGCAGCTGATAGATTTTTTAAAAATCTATCTAGTTATTTTATGGGTTTTTTTTTTGACTGAGAAGTGTAATGCATTTACATTCAAAGTAATTACTGATAGGTAAGGACTTATTTTTGCCATTTAGTTAAATGTTTTCTGTTTTGCAGTTGTTTTGTCTCCTCTCTTGCCATCTTCATTTGATTCTTTGTATAATAATTTATTTTGATTATTTTCTCCTTATCTATTGTGTATCTATTAAAGATTTGTGTCTTTGTGGTTGCCCTGAGGCTTGTATAAAGTAGTTACAACCATCTATTTGAAGTTGATAACAACTTACTTTCAATTGTATATAAAAACTGTGTTTTTACTCTTCTCTCCACATTTTGTATTCTTAAAGTCAGTTTACTTCTTTTATATAGTGTATCCATTAACAAAATTTTTCCAGTTATAATTATTCATAATACTTTTGTATTAGGGTTAAAAGTACTTTACATAGGATTAGCTTCATGCAGTGGTTGAGGGAGCTGGATTCCACATGGCCAACTGCACAGTTAGAATCCAGACCCAGTGGCTTGAAAAACACACCAGGTACATGTACATACATGCCCCAAAGGCCAACAGGGTGGAGAAATGGAGGAGAAGGGATTGAGATGTGATCACACCCCACTTGGGAAGGGGGGTGCTTTCTCACTCTCCCTCTCTTACTGTCTCTCTCTGGTAAACACACATGCCTTCTGGCAAAACTTTTTAAAAATAATAATTTACATAAAACCATTACAGTGTTACATTATTCTGTTTTTGTCAGTATATTTGTCTTTACCAGTGAGATTTATACTTTCATATGCTTTCACATTGCTATTAAGAGTGTTTTTATTTCAGTTTGAAGAATTTATTTAAGTATTTCTTTTCTGTCCTTTTACTTTTTTTAATTGCCAAAGGGTGCATGCCCTTGCCAGAGATGGAGAGATGGGGTGGTAGGGGATAGAAAGAAGCTCCCCCAAGGGGCTTCTTCACAGTATAATCCTTTTCTTTCTTTCTTTTTAAAAGATATTTTATTTTATTTTACTTTACTTATTTATTTAAATTTTATCAGAGAGAGACAGAGTGAGAGAGAGAGAGAGAGAGGTGGGGGGAGTGAGAAAGCAAGCCACCCGGTTCAGGACTTGAACCACGGTCGGCCATGTGGGAGTCCAGCACCCTCAACCACCATGCCACTTGCTGGATCCCAATAATCCTTTACTTTCATTTCTCAACTCTGTTGGTATTTGGGGCATGTACACACATGTACCCAGTATGTTTTTCAAACTGCTAGGGCTTGGATTTGTACTTCAGTTGGCTATGTGGAGTCCATCTCTCTTAATCACTAGGCTATGGGACCAGTTTGCCTTAACACCCTTCTTGTAAGGTAGATCTAGGGATGAACTCCAGGTTTTGTTTGTCTTCTTGTCTCTTCTTAATTTTTAAAGGATTGTTTTTTCAGGCATAATATTTTTAGTTGACATATATTTTGTTTGTTTCTATTTCTTGAATATATCATCCCACTCTTTTGTGGCCTGCAAAGTTTCTGCTGAGAAATCATGATAGTCTTATAGAAGTTCCCTTTTAAGGAATGAGTCACTTTTCTCTTATTGCTTTCAAAATTCTCTTTGACTTTTGACTATTATATTGTATCTCAGTTTAGACCTTTTCATGTTCAACCTGTTGGGGATCCTTTGGGCTTCTCAAATCTGGATATCTATTTCCTTTTCCATATTTGGAACATTTTCAGCTTGTATTTCTTTAATTTCCTGCCTCTCTCCACACTCTTGCCAACCCATATTGCATACATGGTTTACTTGATGGTGTCCCATAAGTATCAAAGGCTTTTTCACTCTTTTTCATTCTTTGTTTCTGGTTTTCTCTTCTGACAGGGTAATTCCAAATGACCTTTCTCCATGCTCACTGATTATTCTACTTGATCAAATCTGCTGTAGAAGCTCTCTACTGGATTTAAAAAATTTTTTTTTCAGCCACTGTATTCTTAATTTCAGAATACCTGTTTGGGTTCTTTTTTAAGGCTTTCTATCTCTTTACTGAACATATTTTGCTCATGTATTGTTTTCTGATTTCATTGAGCTATTCATTTGTATTCTCTTGTAGTTTGCTGGTTCTTTAAAATAATTATCTAGAGTTACTTTTCAAGTAATTCATAGTTATCCTTTTCTTTGAGGTTAGTTATGGAAATTCATTGTGTCCCTTTATCAATATCATGTTTCTTTGATTGTGTGTGTGTGTATTCCTTGTACCCTTGTCTTAACATCTGTGCATTTGAAGAACCAACCACTATTCCCATATTTTATAAACTG